CTTCTTGCGCCGATGACACCACCTCCTGCAGAACTTCTACGGCTGCCAACCTTGCCACCCAAGCCCAAGATTCGTGCGAGGGACAAAGCTGTCTCAGGCATGGCCCTGAACACCGCCTCCGAGAAGGAAGCGGAGGAGACGGCCACAGCCTATGAACCGCCCTTTAGGCGGCCGAGGATGCCCAAGGGATCGGTTGGCCGCATGATGACCAAGTCACGCGCCAAAGGAGGTGAAGAAGTCCACAAACGAAGCCCGCCTCCGCAGACTGTCCCCGAGCATCCTCCCAAGGCGAAGAAGCAGAAGACCGAGAAGACCGAGGATGAGAAGAAGGACACGGGCGGCGTCCGGCTGGAAAAGGGGAAGCCCAAGCCCATGCCCAAACCCAAGTCGGTCAAGGGCAAGATCAACATCTGGTACACGCCCTCGGAAGAGAACAAGCCAGACCGAACCAGGTCGGAGCCGGCACAGGCAGGCGCCGGCAGGCAGGCATGGGTCCATGAGGCACTCCGACAGCCTCCTCCAGAGCACGCTCCCTCGCCCCCACGGCAACAGGGGACACAGCCGGACAAGAAGAAGGAGAAGAAGAAGACGGCGCAGGAGGAGGACCCGAAGAAAGAGACCGAGAAGGAGGAAGTGCCTCCTCCTCCTCCGATGCCGAGGCCGCCGAGGGTTGTGAGCCCCCTCGAAAGTCCCTTTGCACCCACCCCGGTGCCTTCGACAACGACAGCGCCTACTATGTCGACCACGAGGGTGACAAGCGAAGCTGGCCCCAGCCCGCCAGCCCGTAATGACGGAGGTGACGGCGGTTCTGAGAACGCTACCAGGCACCGGAAGACCGAGGAGAACGCCCAGCGGCCCAAGAAGAAGCACAAGAAAAAGGACAAGGGCAAGGACAAAGACAAGAAACGCGACAAGAACAAGGACAAGGATAAAGACAAGGACGAGCCGAAGATCCGGAGGTCCCGCTCAAGGTCCTGGCGCATGGTGGACCCGTCACGCCCGCGGGAGGCCGAAGAGCCCCCCTCCGCGGGCAGCACTTGTCACCTGGAGGTAGGTTTCCCACGGGAGCACCAGGCTCCAGTCTCGGCATACGAGGAATGCGACACCAGCAGCGCTGATCTGGAGGACATGGCGTCTTGTTTGGGGGTCCCTGGGATAGGTTGTCCTCGACAATGTCTGCGCTTCTACAGTAAGTCCCCATCCTCCACCATCACGGGCCTTTGTTTTCTGCTGGCTTGCGAAGGGATAGGGTGTTACTGGAGCCTGGCATCTGCAACCCTGATAGGGCAAATCCCCACCCTGACACCAAGTGCAACAGCCTCCCTGCATCACACTGACAGCTGTAACCTCTTAGGCCCATCTGTCTTGCCTCCTCGACGCAGGACCGCCAGCTACAGCACCGGTCGCGGAGGTGCCCCTCCGGCGCCCACAGCCGAGCCAGTGCGCCCCACACTAGCATGGTGGTCTGCCTGCAACACCGTCACATCTGCACCTGCACCTTGTATGGTCCAGTCCGAAGGTTTCGAGTTGTTGCACTCAGATACTCCGGGAGTTCTCACGAGTAAGGGTCTGCCGTATGCCTGTTCTGCTGTGCTTCCTGCCCGTGGGCGACTCATCAAGACAGGACAGGCACGGGCAGTACTAATCCACCCAAGCAGGTGTCACAGATCCTCCTCTCGTCACCAACCAAGGTCGTTGCATCGTAAACAGCCTAAGTCCATTCTTACTACTGTGACAACAAGTAGCCTGACGGTTTATCACATGGCCAACTCGTCGGACTCTGAGGGCATTTTTCCCTCCCCGGACGTCGACTTTCAGCACAACTCTGACGACGAGGCCTGGCTGGCGCCGACACCGGACCAGGATGAGGACAAGGCGCAGGAGGCACCGCAAGATCCATGCAACGATGAAGCCAGTGAGCTGGGAAGTGACATCATGTGCAGTCCCGCCGCGACCCCCCCGCCGGATGTCACCGACGACGAACGGCTATGGTCACCTTCACCAGCTGCTCCTCCGAGACAGGCTATACCGGGCACGCCGGTAGGCCAACTACTTGGAAGAGTGCCGAACAGCTACCCGGAGGTGGTCCTCCAGGCGCTTCGCAACGCCCCCAACCCGGCGACGGCCCACATGCCGCAGCTGAAGGTGCCCACGACACCGGACCGGGATCGCCAAGATGATACCGATGCCGCACCAG